ATCGCTGAAGTTCCTCGGAAAGAATTTATACCGGAAATTAACAAACGAGCAGATACGTAACAATTCCTACATTTTCATGACCAGCACATTTTTCCATCATGGACACTTCAATACAATGCATAATGGTCCTTTTAAACTAGTAACAATACCTACATTTTCATGACCAGCACATTTTCCCATCATGGACACTTCAATACAATGCATAATGGACCTTTTAAACTAGTATAAATTTACAATTGTGCAAGAATTTTAGTCTACCAGCATTTATAATAGCAGAACAAAAGATTAAAATATATATCCAATTTTCCCTCAATACCTAAATTTTTTATTTCAGAAAACGGCTATGTGGGTAATATATGCTACAGAGTAATTTCACAAATCTTACAAACATGATTAGGTAGAGAAATATCGAGGACATAAGCCTGACTTTCCCAACTGAGTACAGTACACTACAATGGATTAGTTTCAAGAATACTGCAAGAATATATTTATCTACAGCGTAATCAACAAATTTCATCATTAAATGTACAATTCATAATTACATGCTAGCCAAATTCTGCCATTTCATGTGAGAATCCTTTCTACAGTACTTTATTTTCATGTGAACATGCAAATACACAATCGGCATTGTGCAAAACATTTATACTTCTAATACACTTAACTGATATTTCACACGTACATTACAATTAAATATAACAAAATAGAAAGGCATGCACATATATAATGCAATAAAACTAGGCTCACTCTGTTACAAGCACTCTTCTAAATATATTATAGATACATTAATGTGTTGTTGTTTTTGTTCAAGCAATACAAAATATTTGGATCACTTGTACTACATACTGATTATTTTTCATAATAACACTGACAGCTCAGGGATTTTGGACTGGAAGGGGCCACCTGCAAAAATTTGATCTCTCATAAAATTCTGAAAATGAGTATATTGACACTATTAGGCCTATATTTGGATATTTTCCCGGATAAGCCATAACGTCAATGATCAGACTATACTTGTCTTAAGCCAAACAAAGTGACCCAAATTTCCTCTCTCATCCATTAAATGAAGTGATATATTTAATAAACTTCTAACTCGAGACTCAAATGATAGCATCAAAAGTAAATGTACACAGAATTGGTTTATGTAGACAGTGGATGTTTTGGCGGCGTCTCTGTATAGCCTGATTGGCCAGCAAGCGACATCAGAATGTAGTGGATGATTATTTCAACTATGTGAGTACTTAATATTGTCTACATTTCAAACCAAAAGCTGTCAAACCATTATGCCAACTTGTGGGTGGTGATAACTAGCTGCCTTCCCTCTAGTCTTACACTGCTAAATTAGGGACGGCTAGCGCAGATAGCCCTCATGTAGCTTTGCGCGAAATTTAAAACAAACAAACAATGCATAATTTATATATATTTTACAAATAGAATTTGACACTAACGATGTTATAAAGACGACGCCCTCTCGCGGTGTCCTTTACAATTACGTTAGGCTAGGTAGCCTGATGGCGGAAAAGAAAATTATTAGTCTGCTTAGGAGAACAAATAAGAATTTTACATATCGATTTTCTAAACCTTTAGGGTGCAACAGCAGGTGAATCCTTTTATGTAGTTTAGTATAATAGATGCACTAACTATGAAATAAGTGCATAAGTAAATTCATTGGTAGTTACATTGTTAGTGTTACATTTATTTGATCAAATTATCGTCACTTGTAGTTGTACTTTTCTACTTCTACTCTAGTCATTAGTTTTACATTAGTGGCGGGAAAGTTTATTGAAGTATGATAAAAGATGCTTTGCAAAGTCATATAACAATTTTTTTTTTTTTAAATAAAAAACATGGTTTCATTAGGGAAAAATCTTGCCATACTAATCTTTGGACATTCTCTAAAGAGATTATTGCTTACGTAGTGAGGATAAAGATATGGATTTTCAGAAAGCATTTGAAAAGGTGCCACATAAAAGTTTTTCTAAAATTTATCTCTATAGGTATAAGGAATAAGTTAACTCATTGTATAGAAAAGTGACTGGATGGAAGAAACCAGAGGGTTATTATAAATTGGGTTTAGTCAAATTGGATTAATGTCACAAGTGGTGTACTTCAGGGCTTAGTGTCAGGACCTTTCATCTTTTAAATGTACTTATATTTGCTGATGATATTAAGGCCTTTGGTGTTGCTGGCTGTGACAAGGATGCTGCTGCCTTACAAAAGGATTTAGATCATTTGGTGAATTAGGTGAATAAATGGCAGATAGTTTTTAATTATAATAAGTGCAAGATAACTCTTGTGGTCTATTGTAATTTAGATTATATGGATAATGTTTATTGGAATAACCTTAACAGTGTTATAAAAGAAAGGGATCTTGGTGTAATAGTCTCATATGGTCTATTGTAATTTAAATTATATGCATAATGTTTATTGGAATAACCTTAACAGTGTTGTGAAAGAAAGGGATCTTGATGTAATGGTCGATCAGTCTCTAAAGCCATCCAAGCAGTGTGCTGTTGCTAGTGGTAGGGCAAATAGGATTTTAGGTTGTATCTACAGAAATATTGAATACAAGTCTAAAGAGGTTATAATTTCATTGTACAGGTCACTGGTTAGTCTACATTAGCAGTTTGTGTTCACTCTTGGGCTCCTTACCTTAGGAAAGACATTGAATTGTTGGAAAGGATTCAGAGAAGGGTTACTAGAATGGTGCCTGGGATGGAGGGTTGTCATACGACAAGAGGCTGAAATCTCTC